AACCTTTACCTATTCCTGCACAGACCTCTTGGTTCTCCAGATAGTCTTACCAAGTATCCTCCCTCTTTTGCCTTCACTTACATGCTACAGGTTGAGAGAAAGTTGAAGGGACAGAGCCATAAGACTTGGGCTCTAGTCCTGGGCTCACTGCTCACTTAGGCCCTCCCTATTTCCTCTAGTATTCATAACTCAAGGCATTTCTATGTATTATTGTTCATTTATTTATTTATTCATATATTTTTTATATATATTTATTTTTGGTTCTGTAGACAGACTCTGACAGAATCACCCTGGGTGGAGTATTATGGTGTCAGAGCTCACAGCAACCTCAAACTTGTGGGCTCCAGTAATCTTCTTACCTTAGCTTCCCGAGTGGCTGGGGCTAGAGGTACCCACAACTACACCTGGATAGTTTTTCTCTTTTTAGTAGAAAGAGAGTCTCACTCCTGCCCAGGCTGGTCTCGAAATGCTGAGCTTAGGCAATCCACTGGGATTGGCCTCCCAAAATGTTAGGATTATAGGCATGAGCTACCACATCTGGCCATTTCTAATAGTTCTTAAAGCATTAACTCAAGTCATGTATGTGAAAACACACTGCAAGCCCTAAGAACTAAAGAAACGCATGTTGTTTTTTAATATGTGACTCTCACATGACAGAGAATGCCCAGAGCACCAGTAAGTCACGAGTCTTGTCTGAAGGACTTGTCAGGACCAACGAGTTCACCGAACATTAGTGGCTCAAAGCAGCACCGGAAACGTGTGTCCCATTCCGGAGAAGCAAGTGCCTCTGGACAGCACTCTAGACGAAAGTCAGGTAAGAGAAAATAATCGGGACACTTTAGTCTCTCTAGATGCTTTAGAAGGTTGATGAGTATGGTCTAGATACATGGGGTTGACTTTGGATAGGCCTGGGCTTAAGCTGGACTAAGCTGTGAGACTGGAAGTTTGGTACAGTACTGAATAGCACGTAACAACATTCACGTTGAAGTCACACACTTGGGTTATAATCCACATAGGAGCATTGGGGCTTTGGGAAAATGTTCTAACTGTTCTGACCTCCTGAATGCTCATCTCTAAAATGAAGGTAAGGATAGAAACCTCATGGATTGTGTAAGAGCATGACATCAAATAGAAAAAAAGCAATACACGCAAGGTGTCCAGGAAATCCATCTGTGGTAATGGAGACCTTGCCTTCTTAGTGCCCATGATAAAGCCTATCATGTAGTGTGCCCTGAAGAAATCTTTTGTGAATGAATGAATGCATGAATGAACTGTGTCATAAGAAAGAAATTTGGGAGGTGAATGGGATAATGGGAAGAGCCAAAAAGTGAACATGAATTAGGCATCTGCATTCAGTGTGGGTGTGGAGTCTTACTCTCTTATCATGAACCAGTAGTTGGCGGTCAGGGGTTGGGACCAGAGTCTATAGAAGAATAAGTGATACTTTAATGGTAGGAGAGTTCACATTTTCTAATGAAACAGGGATGGACACCCCAGACTCCCACCTTCACTCACTCTTCCCCAATTTAGCTCTCAGGAGAAAGGAGGTTGAAGTGAGGAGATATAACCTGAGAAAAAGAACGGACCGTTCATACAAAGAGGTCAGCGAGCCTCAGAATGATGACTATCTCTGTAAGTAACTCTTTGCCCTCCTCAAACATTAGACTGTTATGTCCTTGTACAACA